GGGGTACAATCATCTAAATGGGCAGATACCACAGTTTCCTATTGTACACGATGGACTTTATGTGTGATGCCAAATAGCAACCTCTGAACATTTCACACAAATCAAACTCGCTACCCTGAGAACAAAAAATAAATAAAACCAAAAAAACTCAGTTCAAGGTTCAAACAGCTGCATGCTAGGGAAAATATCACTCATAAAAATATTGAATGGCCAATTACTAAAGTTGCAATGGAGTTTCTTAAAAATTATAGTAATTATACTGTTTGCTATGATTCAGATCAAACTTAGGGTATTCTTCATATAATGAGTATTCTTCATATAATGATCAATAACTGCACCATGAAAAAAAACAATCAAGTAACTTGAACTGCCTTTTAAAAACCATCAAGTCATTTGAAAATGTTACACTGTACAACTGTACGGATATTTGTCCTAATCCATCGATTCAAATGAGTTCTGTGGAGGGGGAATCTTAAGTCAATGCAAGCCGTGTTTAACTCAAACCCTAACCCTAACCCTGTCTTTAACATTAGACTTAGATTGGTGTGGTGCTTAAGGAGGAGATGGTGAATTCCAGCCCCACATATGCATAATGGTTATCTTTTGAGAGATGAATGCAATGAAATTTCACTTTAATGTGTGTTGAGTAGTATTCATTTAAAGTGTCGATACTATTCTATTCTATTCCATTCCATTCTGTTCCTTCTTGGGATTTCCTGCACAATTAGGTATTCTGTACACTAACACCTGAAATGTATGCCCATTCCTATTGTTGTATACAGCCTGAAGCAACGTAGGCACAGAGAGTGCAAAGGGTGAATGAACAGAATTTTAATATTAAAACGGTAGAATTAAAGGGAACTATTCCAGATATAGGTCAACAAACCGTTCCTTCTCGGATATTCCCAGAGAGAATAGTTACAATAATTGACCTGGAAAATACAGTTATACTATTAAGTGGGGAGAGGGTAATGCATGTGGAGGTGGAGGTGTGTATTATAGAAGTTGGGAAAAGCCATTTGTCCAGTCTAATCTGCTCACAGGGGAAATCCAAATTAAATTATTTCCAGCATACAGTTCTTCAATCCTACAATTCTCTCCTTGAATGCATCCAGTGAAGGGAACTTCACCAATAATTGGTTCCTCTGCCCAACTGTTCTTATTGTTTGGAAGTTTTACTTAACTTTCCATCAAAATTGACTTTCATGAAACTTAAGACCGTGTCTTACATTCTGGAATGGACAGCAGGCTCTCCTTTATTTGACAATCCTTCCGGTACTTGAAAAATGCAATTATATCCAAGCTGGGTCATCTTTTCCAAAGCTAAGCAGACCCAATTTCCTTTGTGTTCTTCTAACACCTGCTTGCCACTCCTGATCATCTCTCTTTGTTCTTTCCACCCGTCTCTGTTGCATTGAATCATTCCTCAAACGCAGTGTCCAAAGAAACCTTTTACCCCTTATTCCAATTACAGAATTTCGTTTGGAGAGCTAGATGATATATTTTTTAAAATGAGATACACCTTGTCTCAATAAAATGTCATTGTGTTCATTTTATTCAGTTGGTCCACTCTTTAACCTTTCAAGTTGAATTTCTCCTAGGATAATAGCAAGCTCATCCTATGCTGTATTTTCTGTAATTTGGATAAGCACTTCCTCTACCCCTTCGTCCAACTGTTTAATGAAAATGTTTGAGTACAATGATATGGTATCAGTAGGGGTACTAAGTGAAAAAAATGTTAATAAGTGTTTGTTAAATACAACACTGAAGAACCCGAAGGATTCATCCAGCTGGCATCGCATCCAATCCATACTTAATTAATATGTTAATCAAAACAATATAAGATTCTTGGACTTGCGGATGAGGTACTGCAAATGAAGATGGCTCTGCAAAAATGGAGCTAATGAAATACAAATGACAAACCAAGTAAGTG